TGCTAGTGGAGGTACATGTAAAAGCAAAGGCACACTGCAGCCACGAGATAAGTGCTTTAGCAAGGGCATGTGCAGTGGGCCTAGGGAGCATGGAGGAAGAAGCACCTTCTTAGTGCAGCATTCTCATAGGGCTCTGTCAGAACATATCTTATCTCAGTCTTGTGGACTCTACGTGGTAAAGAATTAAACAAAGCAGTTCAAATGTTTATCTGAGAAAAGAAGGTAAGTAAAATTTGCTTTGAGGGGGCTGACCTACCAAGAAAAAAATGTAAAAAAAAAAACTTTGGGAAATGCCACTAGGACATGATTTGTTGTGAAATGTGCAAAGATAATGTTCTGAGTAGAAGTGGGAAACCAGGCAAGGACTAGATCTGTAGGGAAATGCCCCATGACCAGGCAGAACCTGATGTCAAAAATGCAGAGAGGGGACTGATGATAACTAATTTGGCGGGAAGATTTAGTAGGTCTTGTGACACAGAAGCAGATAACTAAAGCCAAGTTCTGCGTGGGCCAGACTGTGAGCCTCTCAAGTGTCTCAAAGGAACACATCTTGTCCCTTGTGTCTAGCTAAATATAAATTTCTTTGTTGAATGAATGAATGATGAATGAATAAATGAGAGACATTCCAACAGTGAGCTGGTTTGCAGGAATGTGTACAAAGAGTTCAATTGAGGATAACTTCAAAGTGGCAGTGGCAGAAAACAACTGAAATAGGGAATTTTATAGGTAAGCTAGGTAAGTTATTTTATTCACAATGCATGTTTCTGCTCTAATCATTCAACCCAATGCGTGTGAATGTGTTTAACTGTAGAGTTTGTGACAATATGATATGAAACTGGCACTTGTGTGTGTGCATGTACAAAGTATTAGTATGCCTGATTAGTTTGGTTTATTCATGTGGAAACTTCTTAAAAGCAATAGATTCTGCAAGGTTTGGGGAAAACTGTTTGAGTACTTACATAAAAACTGTATTTTCCACTGATAGTTTGAGCTGTGGTTTGAAAAGAGCAAATGTGGCCTTCTATTTGCAGGGCTTGCTTTCCATCCTTTCCTCAGACATTAAAGTGACTTGTAATTGCCACTGTTAAACTGAATCCTGGAAGAATGACAGTGATTCACAAGTGTTGGTAAAGTGCTGCTGAAATCTGGAATGTATTTACTGCAATTGTTTAGATGCTCTAAGATCAGGCCTTCATTGAATGTGATAGAAGAAAAGATCAAGCGTTTCTAACTAGCAATAACGCTTCTTAGCAATGAAGTTTCTTAGGAATTGTTAGGGAAGAAGCTGGAAGTGGACTATTTTCAGAAATATAAGATTCTAGCATAAATCCACTTTTTAAAATGCCTTTAGTGTCAATAAAATATAAGTAATGGTGTAAAAGCTACAGAGCTTTGCACCATCTCTGCTGTTGACATGATATATTGGCATTGTCTGCTCTCCCAAAACTTCTACTATGTTCTGAATTCTGAAGATATTTAATTTCTCCCACTTTACTGCACACATCACCTATGCTACCCTGTGGCTAACACTACACAGGTGCATTATGGGAAGCTTTCACCTTCAGATGCATCAGCTATTGACTGTTGCTTCAGGGAGAATGAGAAGCTTGATACATGTCTTCCTGTTGGAGTGACAAGCTTTGTGAATCACCTGTCCATATGTCTGATACATCCTTTCCTTAATTTTTTCAATTACAAAAGTTTAAAAGTCTAAAGTAAAAAAAAAGAAAAAAAAAGTAAGTTCCTTCATTGTTCTTCCATGATGCTTATTCTAGCTCCCTAGAAATAAGAAGGGCTAGCAATTTGATGTGTAATACCATTGGTTCCAATTTTAATTTGAACATAGGTGACTAGATCTTGTATTTACTATCATTCTGTGTGTAGAAGCAATGTTAGAACAGCGTCAAGATAATCTAAACAGCCTATGGGGAAATCCAGCTTTATGTTTTACCCTCCCATAAATGTATGTGTGTGTGTATAACCTTCAGAGGTTGCAAACTCACGATTTCTGGGTTCTCAACAGCCTGTGGACATATTGTGTATGGTTCACCTAGTGTTTTAAAAACTGAATTGGTTGCCAACATTTGAAAATCAAAATATTTCACATAAAATCTGGGGCCTGGAAAATCTTGAATAATAGGATGATCTGAAACCCTGAAGACACATTTCTATGGGGCCACAAGTGGCTAGAGGTGACTAGTTGCAGCCCCCTAATGACATCTCTAGCTGCTCCCTGTTGTATTACCTTTGGCCAGCTGCACTCATATGCATTACCTGCTGGTCCCTATAGATATTTGAGTTTTTAACTCCAATCACTGAGCATAAGATTTGGGAACTAAAAGTGATATAAATAGGGTGACCAGGTAAATAATTGTCCAAACTAGAACACTGTGAGAGTAAAAAAGGGTGCTATTAAAAATTACACCTGTACCATAGGCATAAACCACAACTGCCCTAGACAAACCAAGATAGATGGTCTTTCTATTTATAAACTTCTCCATTCAACCCCTTCATTTTACTAATGAGAAAACCAAGATCTAGAAAGGGAAAGTAATTTGCCTGTAGTAATCACCAAGTGAAGTAATAATAAAGTTGCTCTAAGTACTCTGACTCCGAGTCCACCGCTTTTTCCAATATAACAAGCTCTATATAATAAGTTTGAGTACCGCATCCTCTTGAATATATGAATTTTTATAGTTAACTATCACAGTTAGTTAGCTATGGGAGCCCACAAATTGGTAGCTTATGTCATCAATCATCAATGACATTTCTATCATGAATTTAAGTGATGATTTAGACCGTAGCATATCCAGAGATGTTTAAAACATGGTAGTCTTGAGAAATGGAGAGTAAACACTTTCAAAGTTTCTGATTTTACAAGACACAGCAGGAGATGTATTTGTAAGTGCTAATTATGCAAATTGAAAAAAAATTAAATCCACCTTCAAGTACATATCTGATAACTGGATTGCTAAAAAACAGTATGTATTGACTTCTTGATCATTGATTGTTGCCTGGTCTTCAAGAGATCTCCAGGAGCGCAAATTCCCAGATCTTTGACCAGTTGTTTATTACTTTGTTGAGTTTCCAAGAGATATTTTTATGGAGAACACTTAGATGAGACCAATGCATGTTGTCTCTTAATCACTTTCTCAAACTTTGGCCCCAAATTTTTACTAGTTTCCTACCCTAGGGAACTGTGTAAGCTTTAGGAGCATCTCTTAGTCTTTTATGAAGGCTTAGGTCAAAGACTAGCCTGAGAAGAAATGTTTTTCCAATGTTCCACTTGACCCCTACTTGTCCTTCCAAGAGACCTTGCATCAGCAGAGCCATCTTACCATGTCAGCTGCATGAGATGGAGGACAGAAAGAAGGAAGCTCTTTTTGCCAAGGCCAAACAGAGTTGGCCTAAGTCACCCACCCTTGTAATGTACTCTGGTCCTCATTAGCTTTTTAAACATGGGAACTTCACCCACATAGACTAGGATACACGTTACCACACTGGCCTTGTGGAGTTGAGGAGAGCCAGGAAAAAGAGAGCAAAGACCCCTTCTACCCCACTCACTAAATCTTGCCCCAGCTCCAGCATACTTCCCTAGTATCCTAGGGGAGCCCCTTTTCTTTGACCTTTGTCAGAGCTTCTCTTCTGTGGGTGACTTCATAGAGGAGGGGACCAGTGACCAATCATGACCTTAGATTCAAACTATGAACTACACACCTTTTCTCTAATGCACCTTAACAGACTTTAACATGAAAGACTTGTTTTCTAAATGAGCCAAATAAACAGATTGCTAGAGCTGTGCTGTCCAGCAGCAACACATGGCTACTAAATCCTTGAAGTGACAGTATTTTGGTGATAGTCACATAAGCTAAAAATAGTATCACATTAGTTTCCTTTGTTTTTTACTTTTTATGGTACTTCCTAGAAAAGTTCAAATTATCCACATTGCTTGCTTTATATTTCTATTGGATGGTGCTGTTCTAAAGGTATGTGTCAGGTACCTAAATGAAGTAGTTGCATGTTTAGGTGCTGCAGTGACTTTTTACCGTCATCACAAGTCTGAAAGGAGGGAAATTTGCTAATTGTTTACATTACTACTAGTTTCTTGGCAAGGCTTCAGTGTGGTAGACATATCTGGTACAGGGGCAGAAGTTGATAACAGGACTTCACCTTGATATGAGAACATGATGAAAGCATTCATGTCTTTCTGTAAATCAGGCTAGTTTTAAAGTGGACTAATCTGCTCCTTCATGTCTTCCAGCCTCTTGTTTCCTGCACAGCTCTTTGCTTCCCAGAGCCCATGAGGGGCACCTGTTCTGACTCCAGCTTTTAAGCTTCTCTGCCATATTATGCAGAAGGCACTTGGGTCCATATAATGCCAGCTGTGTGTGCCATATGGAAAAGCCGTACCATCTACATATGTACAGTGTATTTCTGAAGCCAGAAGGAGTGTAGAGGAATGTGTAACTGATCTAGTTTTATCTTTCCCTTGCCTTTGAAAATTCTAATCATTGAAATATCTTTAGGCCACAAATAGAATCATGTAGTGAGATAATTCTGAGTTAAAACCAAATATGTACTTTTGTTTTTATATGGACATAGGACTGTGTATGGATGTATGAAAATGTAGATTGAACATTTGGATACAGACGGGCTTGACTTTCCAATGAAGTGTATGGAGACGGATGTATAAATGAATGGAGATAGTGTATGTCAGTCTGCTCAAGCAGAGATTTCCTCCTCCTATATATAGTTGGAGAGAAAGTTCTGTTTCTGCTTCCGCTTAGTTTAGGTGCAGAGTTCACTTAGATGGCTGCCAAAGATTAACAGAGAACGTCCTTCTCTTGTCTCCGCCTAGCTTCGGTGATGTGCTTCTCATACCACAAAGAGCATGCTCTAATGGCCCCACGTATGGATGGTACCAGCTGGAGCCAGGCTTTAGGCTGTATTTTCCTTTTGAATAACCACTTTCCTTCTTCTTTTCCTTCCACTTCTTCTAGGCAGGACAGGGCTGCTTGCTGATCTCTTGCCCAGTTTTGCTGTGGAGATTATGCCAGGTATTCAGTCATTTAACTCTTTATTTGCTTGATTTGCTGTTATTCCACCTGTCTTGCTTCTGCGTTAGTCACTAATTGCTTCTTTATTTGCACGTTTGTCTACATGTCTCTGATCTTTTCCGAGATGAACTAAACCCATTGGAAGGGCTTTTAAATTGCATTCCTTCTGTCACTAGGCCTTAAGAGAATAATGATAATTAAAAATAGGCTGAGATGGCAGCCCAGTCCTTCAGTGTCAGGCATGCAGGCTCTTTGGCAATCTCCATGCCATTTCAGTATTTCAGCTGTACCCATTTACCTAAAAAGTATTTTTAATAGAATCAGTATTTACCTGCCTGCCTTATTTCCTAAGTTATATGTTTACCAATTCATTATCATACAACCGTGTTACTCTGAATTGCCTTTTATAACATGATCAAACTTTTTTCTCAAACCTTAGGAAAGCTATGTACCCCTCCTCCCTTGAAAAATACTCATTTGCAGACCAACATTACTTTGTGCACAATTTCAGGGGCTTATTAGTCCCTTCAAGTCCCTAGGGGTCCACAGATCATATGTGAAGGACATCTATGACAAATATAAATCTCTGTCTTTTTTTATATCTTCAGTTGAATGCACTAGCATAGATAAGCCAATATCAGTTTGGTGCAACCTTATGGTCCACAACTGAGGGACGCACACAGAGAAGCAAGAATGAACTGTGGGAGAGAACAGATCTAAACTCAAGCAGTAGGAAAAGGGGTGATTTAGTCTTGTCTTGGAGGGTTTCTGCCAATGTTTTAAGAGCTACCTAATCACAACAGAGATACAAAATATCCCTGGGTATTGGTTTTTAGCTTAATTCAAGTTTTTAAAAACATCCAGAGTCTTCACCATTGAGCTTCACTAATTATTCTTCTGTGAATTCTAGTCCATTTCCGTTAGGTGGCCAACCCAAACGCAGACATTCTTCTTACTGATATTGCTCCCAAGGACACTAATATATGCCTCTTTGTAATCCCCTTATCCAGAATTCCCTCAATTCATAAGCATTTGTTCATCACACAAACAATGTTATATTGCAGTACTTTAACCTAGATGTTACATCTCGCAGTCTCAAGAAAGACTTACTGTGTTTTTCATATCTGACCCTATATGACTAAATTTCCCTCTCTTTGATTCCAAGAATCCTTTCACAGATAACATTCTTTTGTTTCTCACATATAAATTTCCAATCTTATCCTTGACTGCTTGACCCAAGTTGTAGCCGCCACTGCATACAGCTCATCTAAACCTAAGAGCACATTTCCATCTCAGGCTATGTTACATTATTGTGTTGTTACTAAGGCTTAGGCCAAAGCCTTCAACTATCGATTGTCCTCGGCATGAATGCTCTCCAGGCCATTCTAGCCAGGCAAGGCCTTCTTATTCCCTCACTGAAGAGAGGTTGACCTGTTTAATTTGAATGTATTCCAAAAAGATTAGTGAGGAGGGACATTCGGGAAACATGTTGTTTGTTTCCTCTCTGAGGAAATTATGGTCTATACAAAGTCATTTTGTTAACCATTATTACACAACCCGTTATGTAATAAAAATATCATGTTCTCAAGCTCCCAGCTGAATGTCCACTTAATTGAAGGAATATTTAATAATCAAAATTTAAGAAAAACGACGTATGCTTGGGTTCGTGGTAAAGGGATTTGGGATAGGTGACTTTTAACCAAAATGAATTGCTTTAGTCTTTCTGGCATTTAAAGGAAAGCATGACTCTCCCCAGTCTACCCAGGCCTCCAGGGGGAAGTTGGGTCCTATGGCCAAGTCTCTAAAGCATGATGTTGAGACAAGTCACCTGAAGGCCACAGTCATTTTTAACTAAGCCAATTGCAATTTGTTTCCTTTCTCTTAATCTTTTGGATGGGCAAATGAAATGGAATTTACATGCAGCTTCTGGCAAAACTGTGAAAAGAGGCAGAGTTAACAAACATATCCAGATATACATGTCAGCCTTGCCATTTATCCAAGCTCAGAGCCACTTGAGCCTTTGGTGATGCTGCCTGCCTAGCATGGGCAGCTTGAGTGTGATCAAACCAAACTCATTCTCTGTGCATGGGGACAGTGTCTTCTCTATGGAGACCACGTCTCTAGCTTCCTCTAGCCATGGATTATTGTCCCAGTAGAATCAAAAGGTCTCGGTCTCAGCACTGGTGCTGAGTACAGGAAAGGTGTTCTAGAGGCAGTCAGCAGGGAAAGCAGGTGAATACCTAAGGGGCCTGGAACCACCTAACCATAAACTACATCTAGGCCACTAGACATACAAACCTTTTCCTCAGGACTTAGACATTTAGAGACAGGATTAACTTGACTACAAAAAATAAGTATTCACAGAACCCCCCCATTCATAGCCCAGCAGAAAAGGTTCTCCCTCCCCCTAGCCAGGATTCTTTCAGCTCTGGTCCCATCCTTGTTCTGATGCTATAGTCAATAGTGTAAGTCCTTTCTGCAGTATAGGACTCTGAAGTCCCCACATTGTTTTATGCTGGTCATTATATGTCCCCAACATGATATAGATAACCTTCTTCCCTCTTCTCCATTCCCTGGGACTGGGTGTCTGCACTCCTCACTCCCAGAGTTCCTCTTGAGTGTTGGGGCTCTGCCTCCTGTTAAGAGGTGCTTTCTTCCCCAGGTTCCTCCTCCTCTCCCCCTTTCACAGGAGAATGCCAATCAGAGTGCACGCTGCCCTGGAGGTGGGCTGCCTCGAGTGTGGATTTCTTTGTACATCCTTCTAGAGTGGGTGTTTGTTGGCCTCGTGCTCCTGGGCATCTTCCTCTTCTTCGTCCTGGTGGGGATCTGCTGGTGCCAGTGCTGCCCTCACAGTTGCTGCTGCTATGTCCGCTGCCCATGCTGCCCAGATTCCTGCTGCTGCCCTCAAGCCTGTGAGTAAAGGGATCGGTGGGGAGACAGAGCAGTCGAGAGAAATGTCTACCCCTCTACCTAACAGCTATGTGTGCAGAGTTCCTCTTCCACTTCCTGTCCTTCCACCCCCAAAATTGGTCATTCCAGACTCTCTTCTCCGCTGGGCACCCCTGGCCTCAGGGATGATCATTCTCATTTGCCTTCTCACCTTAATACACCTCTCCACACTTCTTATCCATAACTGTCACTCCATGCATTTGGAATTCTCATGGACACTATTGATAAAATGGAAGGGCAGGTTTGGCATGGTGAGGTTGTGGGGTAAGGCTATTTCCTCTCCCTGACGCATTCAAACTAGAGGAAACCTCCTCTGGTAATTCCCTTCTCATGCAGAGAACCTCCTTTTTATATAAGAAGAGTGTGCAAACTGTGGCCTTTGGGCACCCACCCAGCCACAGATTTGTTTTATTTACTCCCATGATGACATGGGCCACAATAGGGCCTAGTTCTCATTTGGGGATTCACCATTTTTACCTTACTGGCCAAGCCCATATAGACATTAAGTTTGGTACCCCTGCCATAAACCAAACACATCTTGAAAGAGCAAGGTACGCCAGGTCTTTACTATCTTCAGGAATAAAGCAGTTTCTAGGACGAATCAGGTATTTGCTCTGCTTTTGAAATCACAGAGCAGGGAACATGTGCAAGCCCATTACTTGCTTTCCTTCTCAAGAGAAGGTCCAGGCTCCTCCTTGAAGCAGCCCTGGGTGGTCCCTGTGCTAGGCTGCATCCAGAGGGGCCCAGGCAACCTCCAGTGTGGGTAAGAGTGGGCTGCTGCCGTCACTGGGGATGCTGCCGTGACAGCTCCGAGAACCGCTTAATTACTCAGTTGCCAGGTACTAAACACTGTAATTCCTTATGTCGTTGCCGTTTGGTGGAGCTGGAGGAGTCCGAGGGAGTGGGGGAAGGTGATTCTGATGAATCGGTTCAGTTCTGGAGAACAAACACACACACATGCACATACACACACACAGGAGCTCCCTGAAGTGCATCCTCAGGAATTTTTGGTGTGAGGGTTGTGGAGGGTGGGACGATGTAATCTCTCTTGCTCTTGATCTCCCTCCACAGTGTATGAAGCAGGGAAAGCAGCAAAGGCCGGGTACCCTCCCTCTGTCTCCGGTGTCCCTGGCCCTTACTCCATCCCCTCTGTCCCTTTGGGAGGAGCCCCCTCATCTGGCATGCTGATGGACAAGCCGCATCCACCTCCCTTGGCACCAAGTGACTCCACTGGAGGAAGCCACAGTGGTAAATGTAGTTCCAGACTGCCCTGCCCCATGCTTGTCTCGGGCCCCAACAGCGATTCCTTGTTGTTCAGAACAGTTCAATGATGTGTCTTTGGAAAATAGTTATCTCCATTACAGAAATGGGATCCTTCCAGCTATGTCAGGTATCTTTTGGGGTGCATGTCAGGCTTCCCAAGGGCCGTAGCACATTGCTGATGCTGGCCTTCTTCTTAGGCTCCTCAATTACTAAAACTATAAGAAAAGAGACAAGGTATCCCTTGAATATTGATTGTTCAGTTAGTAAATAGTTGTTTTTCAGGAGTCCACTAGTACTGTGAGGGCCTGCAAGAAGTGCAGGACATGGTTTTTCTGACAAGCAGCATGGCCTGGTCAGGGAGAGAATGGACCTTTATTAGACAATCAGTGCTAAAGAGTATGCCAAATACAATCAGCTCAAAGAAGAAAGAGCCAGACTGGTTACAGAATCTTCTGGGAGGAGTTGAAATTTGAGCTGGGCCTAGAGGAATAAATGGGATTTAGGAAAGCACATTCAGGGAATGCTGAGCACCTTAAGTGAGAAGGTCAGCATGATGAAATCCCAGAGCTGGGAGAACAGTATGAGTATGTGACAGTGTCCAACTTGTCGGATTGATTAGAAGAAGGTAGAAGGATATGATGGAGCCAGATTGGGGAGGGCCTTGAAACCCCTCCAGAAGAGTGGGGCTTGATGTGAGAGCCACTGCGGACAGACTCCTGAGGGCAGAGGTAGCACCATGGCAAAGGGAGTGGCAAGTGGGAGAGAGTGGAGCCAGAGACCATGAGCTAAGGTATGGTTGAATTGATTGAGATATGTGAGCATCTAGATTATGATGGAGACAATGGGAGTGAAATGTGTGGGTAAAGCTGAGAGACACTTTGAAAGAAACAATGAGTTATTGGGGAATGAAGGAAAGGGAGGCTTGAGGATGACCCCAAGTTGTCTAGATCATAGACAAAAATGGAATAAGTGGTAAGGAGAGCTGATTTAGGTGAAGGTTAGTCCCATTTGAGGCACTATTAATTTGTGGTTATAGGCAGGTAGGAAGTATAGGTGGAGGAGCAGGTTAGGGTGGGCAGGTAGAGGGGCATTAAAATATGGCTCTTCTGGAGGCATTTGAACAGGATTACAGGGTAGTGAAGGCTAGGATTGAATGTACTGTAGATTTAGAAGATGATTTTTAAATCCCTAGATGTGGATGAGCTGCTGGAGTTGGTAAAACAGACATTTCTTCCCTAGAGGTATCTGGACTGCCTCCAGTGTGAGGTGGGGAAAGGTATCTAGCCCACCTAATGAGCTGCCAGTGCCTGACTGTAGAATGAGTGGATATTCTCCGTGAGTAATTAGGATTTGTATTTTCCTCTCCTAGGAGCTATTAGTAGAATTGTGACATCTGATACAGAATGAGTCACAGACTGAGAAGTAAAAGTTAATGATCAGTGACACACAGGGAATTAGAGAGATAAAGACAATATAGTCCATTTCCATGAAAGATGAAGTGGGCAAAAGAGACATTAATGGAACTTATCTCATACTCTTTGCCTTTTTTCTAATCTTTCTTCCCACCAGAATCCTTTTCCCCTTACGTTTTATTTAATGGATTATCTAACATAACTGTTCTTATTCATAGAAGAGCACATACTTGCTCTCTCTTGTTTTCAATCTTTTTCCAATTCCTCTTTGTTGCACTTCAACCACTTTGGTCTCATTCTGCCACACTAACCAATTGTAATTAGAAGCGTCTTTAAAATAGGAAATATATTATTTCACATAACAAGAATGTCAAGGTAAGGTAGTTCCAGAGTTGGTTAATAGAACAGTTTGGCTGGCAGCCCTCAAGGAGCTGGTTCCTTCTGTCTTTTGTTCTGTTATCCTGAGCACATCCCCTGTCCTCCTCAGCTGGCTCACCTCATGATCTCTTGATGACTGCATAGTTCTAGGTAATTAAGCACATTCAGAGATTGAAAATGGTATTCTATTCCTTATGCTGCTTTTCTCAAGAGTAAGGAAAAACTTTTCTGGCAGACTTTTTCTTTTAGTTTTATCAGCAAGAATTGGGCTCATGCCCATTCATAAACAAAATTGGCTTGAACTACTTAAGACTCACTGCTTAGGACTGAACAACTATTTATTTACTTTGGAAGTGATCAGGGTTTTGTTAGCAAGGAAAAAGAGAACGGGTAGCAATCAATGTCAACCACAGCTAGTCTGGCCCATGCTGTCACGGTCTGGCTAGTGGAGCCAGGACAGACTTCTTCATGATCCCCACCAGGCACACTTCTGTACTCATGGTCCCATGGGGAGTATTAGTGATGGTGTTTGGCTAATCCTCCTTTAGCAAAGGTGGCTTATGCCAGTGTTCCATGTAGATTATTATTTAAAGAACATTAAAAATGTTAAGAAATGTTAATTTACAAAAATGTAAATTTAGCCTATTTTATATTTATATACTACTTCAATTTTAGGGTAATTATTTCACAACAGTAATTTTTCAGATTACATCTGTACACAGTAGCCATTGAACACTGTGTGGTTGTAAAGGGCGTCTTTGACGAACTATATGTAGTGTAGCCAGTTGGTTCCCAAATGGAATAGGTAAGAGGCACTCTAGTTCCTTCTCCTGTTCTTCATGGCAGCAACTTGAGACCTTCTTTGTTACCATGCAAGAAGACTGCCTGCCCCTGTGCTGCTCTGGATCGTCCCTTTCAGCTTTGTCAAGGCTCTCTCTTTGTCGAGTACCCACAATCCACCCTGTTCCCACCTCACATCTCCATTCTTTTCTTCTTTAGTGACTCCTTCCTATCAGCATTCAATATATGCTAAAATCTCTCCCATTAAAATACAACAATTCACAAAAACCTGTGGTCCTTGGAAGTTGCTTTCCTATCCCTTTACTCTTCTTCACAGCCAAAATCCTTGAAAGAGTTTTGACTATTAAATATCTCCTTTCCCTCTGCTCTCACCAACTCCCCGGCTCCCTTCCATCTTGCCATTGCTTTCACCACTCCAGAAACCAGCTCTTGCTAAGATTGTCTGATTGCTAGATGTAATGGATGCTTTTCAATCATTACCTCCCTTGACTTCTCAAAAGCATCTGCCACTCTGAGGCACTCATCTTCCTTTGCTGTTCTCAGCACTGTACTTGGTCATTTTTCCTACCTATCTCTGTGCATGCTAGCCGTTATTCCACTATACCACCTCCAGATATTCCTGTTTTGTTTGAGGTCCTCTCCCTGGGAAATCTTATTCACTCCTATGGCTTCAATCATCATCTATATGCTGATGATTTCTGATCATTATCTCCAGCCTCTCTTTTGCTCCTCAATATCACATATCCAGCTGTCTTCTGGACATCGCCACCTGGGTGTTTTGTAGGCATTTCAACCTTAGCCCCTAGGAAATTGAATTAATCTGCTGCTGCTTCACTTCAAATCAGCGTCTACATATCTTATCTCAGTTGATAGCACTGTTGTCCACCTTTTAGCCCAAACCAGAAGCAGAGACTTCATCCTTATCCCTTCCTTCTCCCCCACTTCCCTCATCCAATTGGTCACCAAGTCCTTTAGATTGTAACTCAAAATAATCTTAGGTTGGTTTCTTCTCTTCCGTCTCTACTGAAACTGCCCTAGACCTTGCTGCCATTACCCCCACCTTGCTTAACAGAATTATCTCCCACCTGGTCCTTCCACATCTACTCTGCTTCACTCTAATCCATTTTATTTCCACATCTACCTGGCCTCCACCCATTCTTCATGCAAAAGAATTGAGTAGGCAAGTAGAGTTTTGAAATGTCATTTTCAAAATTAATAAGGATGTGTATCTATATATATGCCTACTGTATGTATACAGAGAATATGCAAATTTTAAGAATCACTTCTCCCACAGCTGAGCTGCTGTCACCTTGGGGGTGGAATCTGGCAGCTGTTCTATCATCCATAAACAGCTTTACTTAGCTTATTAAGATAGGACATGCAGAACAAGGCTATATCCATGAGTATCTGCCTCAGAGACTTCTTTTGCAAGTTTGATAAGTTGGATTTTGGCTGTAATGGGGAACTTAGCTGAAAACTGCCTAAGACTTAATGGGGTCAAAAGTATCAGCAAAAATCCTTTAACAATAAGAATTTTTTAAATTGTAGTTTAGCATCAAAGTGAATATCCCCATATACCCTCTCCAGTAAAATCAAAGTTGGCAAGGCTAATAAATTAGAGGAGGTGAAGTATGAAGAACCACACCAACCAGAGGACTTGGGGCAGACTGAACTTGAAAACAGATAAATCATCCATTGATCCTAAACCGAAACATCACTAGGAAAAAAGTCATTTTCCAAATATGCTGAACTTTGGCCAATAGTCTAGGATATTTCTTATTAAAACATTACCACATACCCCAGAGAGTTCTCTGATCTTCAGACAAATTACAGATAAAAATCAATCTGACACCATTGCTATTTGCTTTCAAATCAAGAAAAATTTAATGAATGCCTACAAATTTTATCTGCCCTCAAGGAATTTACAGTCTAGCAGGTGGTTGCTGTGGGCTTGTAAGTAGAAATAAAATAAGTAATACAAGGCAGTATATGAAAAGATTGATTCAGGATGCCAGCTCAGAAAGGAAAACCTCATCCTTGGAGAGGAGGGACCAGAAAAGGTTTTCTGGTGTTTCTTATCCTCCTCAGAATGTATGTGACATAGAGCCCGATTCTACCAGGTTCAGAGAATAGTTTAGTGTATTTGAACTTGTAGCTTGCCATTTTTTAAAAAGTCCAATACTTATTAAAGCGAGAAAGAATTGCCTAGGTTTTTAGCTACTAAAACCAAATGGATGATATTCCTGAAGTCAAAAGATCAAAACTTTGCTTCCGTCTTTTTTTTTTTTTTTTTTTGGACAAATTAGAGGAATTTAGATTTCTGAAGTCATGGGCTGCTGTGACTAAGAAGTCAAGGCTGAAAGTATCTGGTACAGTGGAGTCTCTTTATAATGCCAGTACTGAAGGCAAAACTATCATCTTCATTTGAGGCTATAAATGGTTACTGTAACTTTTCAGAGACATGATAACCTATGCATACACAATCAAATCTGTATCATAATGAGGAGTGTAATTTGTTATAATGACATAGAAAACTATGCTCTAGTCCAAGTGGCAATTAACTGAGGATTCTCCAGCTGTTGCTCAGGGTAGCAGGCATCTCACACCGGCCATCTCTCTCCGCCAGTGCACAGCTGGTACATTGTTCCATACAGCAACAACTTTGTGGGCCCCATCTCCCATGACCTCTAGCTCAGTATTACTCAAATACCGTAACAGTGCTTCACATATTAGAACACCTGGATAAAACCATAGCTGCAGGTAGAGTAGGCCCTTTCCATAATGCCTACAGACAAGCTAGTTTTCCTCACTTAAAAAATAATTAACAATAGTAACAATAATCATGATACTTACCTAAACTTTGCTATGATCCAAGCCTTTCCCTTCCTGATCAAAATTCTCCAATAAACCACCCATATGGCCTCATCTGCTATACACTGTAATCTCTTATAATATGGTTTCTATTCCCAGTTTCTCCTCATTCATTCACTCATTCCTTCATTCATTACACACACATATCTTTCAAATGTCTACATGTGCCAGGCTCTATGCTAGGTGCTGGGGATACAGAAGTGAACAGAGACCTAGTCCTTGTCCTCAGGAAGTTTGCAGTCTAGAGAGAAAAACTCTACTGAAAATAAACTTTTCAAAGAAACCATTAACCCTGCCCCAATTCCCAGGCTGGAAGCATGCAACAAACATTTTTTAAGTTCCCCACTATGTGTAAAGCATGGTTTTAGGCACATGGAGATCCAGAACCATAAGGATTCTTTTCCTTCAGGAATCTTTGAGAAGATTAGACATTTATACAGATAACTTAAACAAACTAGAATATATTAAGGAACATAATAAAATTCAAATTGAATGATTTGTAAGTTAGAGAGGGAGAAACAGAACTTTTCAAGCTGTGAGAATCAAAGAAAGCCCTTTGGCTGAGGCAGCATTTGAGCTGCTCCTGATAATTATAGAGAACTCAAAGTGCTCCACTGATTTGGTCTTAGTTGTCCTCTCATCGTTAAGAGATTATTTAAAGGTTGGGAAGTATTCATTGCATTTTATAGACATGAAAACTGAGTCCTAGATAGGTCATCATTTGTTTGAGTCCCTCAACAAATTGCACAGCATGCTACAAGATGCCCCATTCCCTGCTTCCCAGGCCGGAGCCTCATCCATCAGACATAACTGCCTCCAGAACAGACATTGCAGTTCCATGGGATAATTGCATTTTAATTGAACTGTCTGAATGACTCTGTAAATGCCTCTGTAGAGATGGAAGAATGTTTAGCTTGATAAATAAAATTATTTCTGCTAATAATTGCTTCCATGCAAGGATTATGGATTTAACTCCTGGGAGAAAGTGCCACTAAAAAGTGTGTGCTGAGATTCATTAATTTTTTTTCTTAGTAATTCCACAATTTGAGATGAATGTGGACTGCCCAGTATATTCTCATATAGAAAACCAGTGCACCTGCAAATGGGTGTGTGGGTGACTTCTGTTTTTAGTGCTTGGGCTACAATTAGAGTGCTATGGAATTTTATATTTTAATCTTCCATGTAAATAGCTTGTGTGGGAGGGCTTTGTCCGCCGTCAGGGTAACATGGCCAGACACTACACAACAGGGTTTTCACTGGATTTACATGTAGTCATGTGGTTTCTTTATGGTGTTTGCCCCACTTTGGGAACAGGAAATGTTGGCATTAGGTCACTAGCTTATACCCCGTTAAAAGGTCTTGAACAGCTGGGAGATAGGACCACGCTGCAGACCATACAACCCATGGTATAGTTAAAGCATTTCTTACTCTGGGCTTTCCTTCCTTATCTTTCTCACCTGTCTCTTCTTACTACCTCTCTTCCTAGACTCTAGAGAGGCAAGATGCTCTAATATGTTTAAGCTTCCATCAGACTACATGGTTCCAGCCCTGGCACTGCTAAATTTTTCCTTGGCAAGTTATGAAACCCCTCTGACCCCAAATTTTCTCAAATATAAAATGTGGCTGATCACGGTACTGTTTTAGGTGGTTCTGAGGAACAAATGTCCATGTAAAGCATTTAGCAAGTACCTAGCACATTTTTAGTGCCCAGTGAGTGCTGTCTAATCACCATTATTGTTCTGCATCCATCCCATCATTCCCTTCTCTCGTTTTTTTCTTCTTTCTCTTATCTGTGCATTAGGCCCGCTGGTATCAATCACTCTGGGGGCTGGTATTGGGCTAGACTCATGCTTAAGTGATATGGGGCTTAAACAGCCTTTGTCTCTGACAATATGAGTGACAGGGATGTAGGAGATGTTCTCGCGCCTGTATTAGTTTTGTTTTTTATTAAGCCCCGAAAATAACAGCTGCTTGTAACCGCATAGCAGCAGGTCGAATTAATCATGTCTAAAATACAGCATTCCTTTTCCTAAAAGGAAAATGCTAAAGAAATAAAATGGAACCATAATTAAAAGTCCACATAGTTGGAATTTTGTTTTGTACTACTATGTGTATGGTCTAGAAATTAACATTAGCTCTTATACACAACTCAGTTTAAGGAATTTTTGTACCATCTTCCAGGCAACCCAAAGCTTTCAGGCCAACTTGTCAAGGTCCTTGATGTTTTTAAAGTTACCTGTGCTCCCACAAAGTGAAGGTGTGATCCTCAGATGGTAGAGTGACGCATGTCCTCAACCTAGAAAGTGGTCTTTTTTTAGTGTGAATACACTCCTCCAATGGCACTCAAAAGCATTGAGAAGATGAGCGCTAAGTGGAGCTATAGGAGGTAGAAAGATAGGAAGCAGAGGTTAATAAATGACTAAAAATGGACTGTAATGGAATTTTGTTGTTGACCTTTAGGTCCTCCATTCCAGTGGCACCATCTGATAAAGGGGATAACAGATATAGTCCCATATGTATAAATATAGATTGTTATTTCTGGGCGATTTCAATAAGATTGTTATAATTGGAAACCCTATTTTCTACTTGGTAAAATAAATGGAGGCCTCCTTTCCCTGATATTTTCCTTTTTCAGCTCACCTTCTTGTGCTTTTCTCAACAGTTCGCAAAGGTTACCGGATCCAGGCTGACAAAGAAAGAGACTCCATGAAGGTCCTGTACTATGTTGAGAAGGAGCTGGCTCAGTTTGATCCAGCCAGAAGGATGAGAGGCAGATGTGAGCATCTGTTAGTTTTCTGTGATCTGTGCGTTATGCAGGAGTTAGTATGTAAAGGGGACTTGGGGCTCACCAAACTTGGGCAGCCCTGAGCTTACAGGCTTAGAACTAGCAGGGGTGCTGGTGACACTACTGAAGAAAGTAGCTCTCAGTACACAGAGGGAAAAAAAAAAGGTCTTCTGGTGGGAAGAGTAGAGCAATTCTGTAGCACTTTGGTTTATGTTGGTTCTCTCAATGGGCAGTCAGTATTTCTGGGGCTGTGTTATCCTGGGGTTTGGAATGCTTTATTAAAACAGTCTCCCTTCTACTCCCTTTAGAATATATTCAAAGTAATGTCCTAAGATGTAGAAGCTTGAGTATCAGTTTTTCCAATGTGAAGGGCCCTAGCCTTGGACAATCCAACCATCAACTCACTGCATGGAGGCCTCCTGAAAGTGAAAGAACAAGTCTGGCACATAAACCTGGAAAAAAGAGGTTGTCGCTCCTCGAAGATGCCAAACAACAGAGGTTAAGGGGCAAGCAAAGAGGCCGCTCCTCTTGTCAAAAGAACGTTTTGAATACTAAGTCTGAGGTGGCAGGGCCCCAACCCTTAACTCACCCCCAGCCCTTGGATACTTTGTAGTTGACACAGCTGATTCTTGGGGTGGATTCCAAATTACCATCTATCATGGGAGACAACACAAGCAGGTCCCGTGTGGACAAGCTGATTATCAGAGGGTGCTGGCGGGTATGGAAGTGAGGTCATTACGCTCTCTCTTTAACTCCTCTTCTTGGAACTAACGAGAGACTTGACGGAATTGTTGGGGAAACAGTCCCAGACTAGAGGAGCTTTATTCAGATTAAGGACAACATATTCCACCCAGTTTGCAATTCTAAATTCATCCTGTCTGCGTTGTATCCATTGCTGTCTCCTCCCACCACACCGACTATAAAAAGACCATTTCCAGATTGGAATGTCAGGAATGCAGATGTCACTGCACTTGACAAGCTAGTTGTAACAATGTTGTCATGGATCCCTGTAAGGGGCCAGAGAGAGTGAGTCAGGGACCACAGAGGAGTCTGTGCAGGAAATCTGCGAATCTCACAGCTCAGGGAAAAAATTAACAGCTAAGGTTAAAACTAAAGGATCAATTCTGGTTTAGGCGATGTCTCCTGTCTCTGTACTTGATTAAAATAGTCTCTATGGGCTTACTGGTTATAAGGTAATGGATCCTTACAGTCCAAGAGGGTCTTAGACATGGCCTAGGTCAACCTTTGTAGTGTACAGATGAGGAAACAGAAGCCTAGGGATGCGGTGACAATTAGGACTAGATTCCAACTCTTCTGATTCCCAGTCCTGTGCTCTTTCCACAAGAAACTCTTGAGCAAACTGTGGATGGCTCCGTGGCTGTAACAGCAGTTTCTGTTCAGAGGCCACAGCCTTCTAGCTAATAGGACTTTAGAATGCTAGCGCTGGAAGACACTCTGAGGTTGTTGAATCCATCCCCTCACTAAGGCAGAGAGGAAAAGTAACAAGTACCAGTACTCAGTACCAGTGCCAGAACTGGAACCCTCATCTCCTGAAACCTACAAGTTAATTTTACAATAACTACATAGAGATAAAGTAGGAATACTGTTTATTTTGAGAGATCCTATTTCTGAAAAACAGAGTAAACTATGGGGTGGATCATGGAAGTGGGCAATCTTGAAATTTCATTATAAAATGGATCTCATGGCTTCAGGTTGGGGCAGGAGAGTAATAGGCTCTGTAAGAATTGAGTTTGAGGTCCAGGCTCGTGAATTTGCTAGCCAGTATGGTCCTCGTTTGCTTTGCCCTTCTAAATGGGGAATTGTTTTGGGGATGTTTTTAGTATGGGAAGTCCTAGAGTAGGGCTCAGCAAACTATATCTCCTGGGCCAAATATGTTTCACTTCTTTTTTTTTTTTTGAGACAAGGTCTTTCTCTGTTACCTAGGCTGGAATACAACACAGCTTACTGCAGCCTCGACTTCCTCAGCTCAAGGGATCCTCCCACCTCAGCCTCCCCAGTAGCTGGGACCACAGGCGTGTGCCATGACGCACAACTAATTGTTTTATTTTTTTTTATAGAGATGAAGATCTCACCATGTTGCCCAGGCTGGTCTCAGACTCCTGGGCTCAAGCAGTCCTCCCTCATTTGGTCCCACAAAGTGCTGGGATTATGGACATGAGCCACCATGCCCAGACCCACTTCGTATTTTTATAAATAAAGGTTACTGGAATATAGCCATGCCAGTTTACTTACGTTGCATCTATGCCTGCTTTCATGCTACAGTGGCAGAATTGAATGGTTGTGTCGATATGACTTGCAAAACCTAAAATATTTACTCTCTGGCCCTTTACAAAAAGAAGTTTGCTTATCCCTATCCTAGAGTTACATTATGGATGTTTGTGAGATAGGGACAGGTCGATGTTCATGTTCAATTTGGCAGAAATTTTAGCACAACATACAACTTAGGCAATCCATCACTGTGTATAGTGAAACATAGATCGTCCTCACTATCTAGAGAAATGAAAAAGGTCAAGCATTCCCTGAAGTTTAAGGAAAGTTCTGAGCCAATGACGCAATTTTTCAGTAGGCTCATTTGGTGCATTTTAAAGGCCTCTTCTTTGTGTACTGGAATTCAGGTGGATCATGAGAAAGGGAAAGTTCTAGATTTTATTAATAGTATCTGAGTTATTTTCCTTAAGTTAGGCATAGTCCCTTCTTTTTAGATGGAAGAAAAAGTTAAAAGTTAAATTATAATTAAAAATCAACTGATGGCATGATTCATCTGAATGGCATTCATGGTAAATGCTGTGTCCCTGGTGAAACAACTAGGTGGCTGTGTTGGGAGGCCCTCCCTCATCTTTGTGGAAAAATCCCTTGTCCTCCAAGTACTCTTGGGGATAGCGAGGGGGGAAAGTTGAGGGAATCTGAGGCACACATTTCCAAATCTTATCTTGGCCTACCTCTCACTCAACAGCTAGGCCTGAAATTTGGTAAATGTTATTTTTGATAATATTTTGAAGTTCTAATTAAAGGATTTTAGAAAACAAATGGATTCAGTTACATTACAAATAGATTTGGTAGATTTAGTTTTTGTACAATGAAATTCAATACATTTCAAAGTTTTATAAATAAATAGTTGAGTTTTTGTTTATTTTTTCCTTTCCAGACTGTGATTCTGGTCCGTATTCACAAGCACTTTTGCAAAAAGCTACTTAGGCCACTTCGGGAAATGAGAAAGCTGTGACTAGATACCCCCAGTTTTGGGCTAGGGCCAGAGTATAAATAGAGGCCCACAGGTGTAAGTACAGCCCCCTCTACTTTTCTTCCTACACCTCCAAACTGCTGGCCTAACCACTCATGGCCACATACCCCTGGAAAACTTTTTTGGGGGAGGGGAAGAGGTCTGCCCAGGTCCTGGAAGTAGACTTAGTTCTAGTTGGGCAGCATCTTCCAGGTTCCTAGATGAGCATGGGCTAGGCAGGGGGTATATGGACACGAGGAACATGTTTCCCCTTGACTGTTCAACTACTCTGTGGACTTCTTGCTCTGTGGGGAGGAGCACAGCCAAAGGAGGCCAGAATGTGGTGCCTCTATGGCATGTGGCAGGATTGGCTCTGAAGGCCCATCTTAGGACTGGGCCAGCAGTAAGGAAGATGCTGTGATCTGTGCTTCTGTCTCCCTTTTTCTGCTTTTGACTTAACATGCCTGGGATCAACACAGCTCATCACAGAATTATAAAGGAAGAAGAAAACATTTGAACAAGGATGATGATGTACAAGGAGGAGGCCAGCAACAGAGAGCCTGAGTTCTGGAAAGCCTGCCTTAGGTGCAACAATAACAAACTTGTTCTCCTATTCCAAGAACAAAACATGTAGGAACCTCCCGTAAGCAAGTAGGCTTCAAACTGGAGCCAATTCCTGCTGAGCTAAGAATACAAACACCACTAGTTCAGGTTTACAACCCACCCTGGACAGGAATGAGGCAGGAGTTTCCTAGAACCTACGGTCTCAGCCCTTAACAGGATTCTCTTCCTGTCTAACACAGAGTAACACATAGAAAGCTCTATCATGCCTGGTTTTGTCCCTGCAGATAACAACACCATCTCAGAACTCAGCTCCTTACATGACGAGGACAGCAATTTCCGCCAGTCTTTCCATCAGATGAGAAGCAAGCAGTTCCCAGTGTCTGGGGACTTGGAGAGCAATCCTGACTACTGGTCAGGTGTCATGGGAGGCAGCAGTGGGGCAAGCCGCGGGCCCTCAGCCATGGAATATAACAAAGAGGATCGGGAGAGCTTCAGGCACAGGTGATGGCTGTGAGGGGCAGGTCTGGTCTGGGTATGAGGGGGCAGGAGCTGGAAGGCAGGGTAGATGGGAGGCAAGGAAGATGCCATCCAGTTGCATCCCATTCCAGGTTATCCTGACACATCTCTCTTTCTACAGGATATTGAATATCTCACATTTGTCAAGACAGGAAACACTTGTGACAACATGTGTAGAAGTAATTATTCAAGACCTTTGAAATGGGTCCCCTAGACCCTTTAATGAACCTTAACATGTCTCTGCCCTTCTCATATATTTTATCCTATAACTTCTAAAAAATCCCACCCATCATCTCCATCTTTTTTGAGGGGGATGGGTAGAGACAGAGTTTTGCCATGTTGCCCAGGCTGGTCTCGAACTCCTGAGCTCAAGGGATCTGCCCACCTCAGCCTCCCAAAGTGCTGGAGTTACAGGTGTGAGTCATTGTGCCTGGCCATCTCTCTCATTTTTGATCGTTTAGTATATGAAAGGTAAAATGCCAAACACTTCTCTTGCATTTAATTCTCATAACTCTAAAGGGCAGCTACTATTAATGTCCCCATTTTAAGCTGGAAAAATAGAAACTTCCAGGTGCTAAGGCACTTACCCAGGTAATGTGACCAACAATTGTGGGAGGCTAAGATTTGCCATCCCCCTAAATAGCACCTTCACTACTCATCTGTCCTTTGCCTTAAAAGACAGTAGATACTGTCTTTCCTTTACAAATTGCAAGGGTCCCTCTCCCCTCCTGTCCCAGTAGGTAACTTGGCCCTCAGCTCTGATGGGGGAAAAGGCCTCTCTGTGTGTCACCACACATTACAGGGGCTCCTGGGACCACAACCGTTGTACTGACACCTGCGCTGGCTTTGAGGGTGGAGTGAGACGTGTGGCTGTCGACCAGAGGTCACAACATAATGACCAGAAGGCAGCCCCACGGTGTGTCGGTATTCTATAGGACACAATATTTCTATCCACACAACCCCATTTTGATGCTTGGTACAAGAGTGAGATAGACCCGGTTGTCCCCACTTGACGTTCTGGGGTATGAGAGGAGCCGGGAATGCTTCATCCAGCCTGGAGCAGAGCTGAGGCTGGGGCCGAGGTCTCCTGAGCGCGGCCCCAGGAGACGATGGGTGCTCTCGGACCTCAGCCTCGAACTCGCGGCCTCAAGCTTGGGGGAGGGACGGGCCGTCTGACCCCATCCTCCTCTGCCCGCAGCCAGCCGCGCTCCAAGTCTGAGATGCTGTCGCGGAAGAACTTCGCCACGGGGGTGCCGGCCGTCTCCATGGATGAGCTGGCGGCCTTCGCTGACTCCTATGGCCAGCGGCCCCGGCGGGGCGACGGCAACAGCCACGAGGCGCGGGGCGGGAGCCGCTTCGAGCGCTCGGAGTCGCGGGCGCACGGCGGCTTCTACCAGGACGACTCCCTGGAGGAGTACTACGGCCAGCGCAGCCGCAGCCGCGAGCCCCTGACCGACGCCGACCGCGGCTGGGCCTTCAGCCCCGCGCGCCGCAGACCGGCCGAGGACGCGCTCCTGCCGCGGCTGGTGAGCCGCACGCCGGGCACCGCGCCCAAGTACGACCACTCGTACCTGGGCGGCACGCGGGAGCGGCAGCCGCGGCCCGAGGGCGCCAGCCGCGGCGGGAGCCTGGAGACGCCGTCCAAGCGGAGCGCGCAGCTCGGCCCGCGCAGCGCCTCCTACTACGCGTGGTCGCCGCCCGGCACCTACAAGGCGAGCTCGTCCCAGGACGACCAGGAGGACGCGTCCGACGACGCGCTGCCGCCCTACAGCGAGCTGGAGCTGACCCGCGGCCCTTCCTACCGCGGCCGCGACCTGCCCTACCACAGCAACTCGGAGAAGAGGAGGAAAAAGGAGCCCGCCAAGAAAACCGTGAGGCCGCGTCTGCAGCCCTCCTCGGAGGGGCTGAGCGGGAGGCGCCGGGGCGGGGCGGGCAGGCTTGCTGTCCCGGGCCGGGGAGGTGGCGAGGCGGGAGGCCCCTGCCTGGAGAGGCCGCCGGGGCCTGCCCAAGGGAGTTTGAAGGTGGATGTTAGGCCCGGTCGCTTTTTCAACCTCATTCTGTCCAGGGCCAGATGAAGGAAGGAAGCATGCGCCGGGAGAGGTGAAAAACAGGCAGAAAGTAGTAGGCGTGTAGATGGTTTAACACGGAGCATTAGGTAACCAACTCAGAAGCGCTTAGCATCAGCGATTCCGGGAGCCATCACCACCACCGGCCAGGTGGTGGGCTTCTGAGGTCGGCGCACATCTTCAGTGCATGCTTCTATGTGTATTCCTTCCCAGCCCTGCTTGGGGCAAGAGTTTGTAACTTGCATCGGATTTCCGAGAATCCACAGCCCAGAAAAGGTTAAGAGCCACTGCTGTTTGCAAAGGACAACTCATGTCTGTTCTCCTTTGACGTTTTATTGAGTGTAAACTGTATTGTCATATATGCGAAGGAAATCCCTTGGTCCCTGCCCAGTTCATTGTCTCTTTTGTAAGAGCTGCCTACTACATCCCTCAGCCCCAAAACGGGAGCCCTGGACCTCAGAGAAACGTGGGGGACGATCACAAATATCCACTGTGGGTACCAGGTGCCTCTGACCCCCATGCTTTGGAGACTACTCTCTAAGCACAACTGCTTCTGCCCCTCCTCAATTACCCTGCCTCCCCACCATTCTGTTTTTTATGAATCCAAGCTGAGCATTTTCATTAATGTTTAGTATGAGGAGAAGGAATATGAACAGAAAAAGGTTTTGACACAATTATTAGCCCTTCTAAAGGAATTCAGTGTATTTTATTTTTCTTTAAATAAAAAAAATACAGTAACCAAAGTACTATGAGTAGGGAAGAAACTTTCAGGCGATTTCAGGTTTATGGTATACCAACTACACTTGCTGTTGTGGAGCTGTAAACGTAGTTATCCTTAAGGGAGTGAGAAGTTATTTTGTGGCTAAGGAACTAAGCCTGTGTATGTTGGCTTTAGCCTCTACTGCATATTAGGATCAACCATCACAGGTCTAATGACAGGTTCTGAGAGTCAGGGGTGCCTGGCACTGAATGGGTTGTGGACTTTGCCCAGTGAACCATCTGTTATTGGTTCTTTTCTTTAGCACGTGGCTTCATGTTGTGTTCTTTCTGCTCTTTCCTAGAATGACTTTCCAACCAGGATGTCCCTTGTGGTCTGATGTTGTCAACATTTCTCTGGATGACTAGAAATCAGACATGGACTACAGGGACAAGACACAAATCCAAGAGCAAGCAGGCCCAGGACCTTCTCTGGCCATCACCTTGGAAGATTTGCTCATCTCTGCTTTGGCAAGGGATGGGAGGCAGCCTTTAAGAGAGGCTGATTTCAAACCTCTGTGCCCATCTAACTAGTTTGAGAAACTTAGGAAGAAAGCAAGAATGTGTGAGAACATTCCTACATTCAGAGTTTCTCAACCATAGCGTTTATTCTGCCCAGCCTCCTCCTTAGCAGAACCAGAACTCTATTTCCAATTCTGAAAGAGACTTAGCCCTGGACTGCTAATCTCCAGAAACTGTCTATGCCTACAATATGCTTTTCTACACCTCCTGTGCTATACTTAGAAGAATTTATTACTACTAGCAGAAGAAGGCCTTCTGCTGACAAGGGAAGATAGCTTCAAGTCAAAATATACCTTTTATCCGCATCACTTTCCAGTCACTAGTCAATGACCGTTGTTACACTAAAATCAAAAGGCCTTTGGTGAGCTCAGTGACAGTGACCTCTGGGACAATCACAGAAATGACTTCAATTTGTTGTTCTGAATGACAATACTTGAGTGGCTAGGACAAAGCAAAAGCGAGTATACCTTTTTGAAAAGCTGTCTAAGTGGTATTTCCTTTTCCATCCTGAGAACGTAAACTGCTTTTTTCATTTCTGTTGCACATGTCAGCATCTGAGTCTTAGACATTAAGGGCTCTTCTCTCTCAAGACCCTGTCCTGGACTTTCCACAAGTTGGTGCCACACACAGAGCCCTGCCTCCCTCTGCACTCTGGTTAGATTGTCATCGGGTGCCTTGGATAAATGCTTAAAATACACACATGAAGGAGAAGAGAGGGAAAAAGAGGAGAAAGCAATAATGCATGTATAAAAGAATGAGAAGGAATTTAAGAGGGAAATAACGTCGTCTCATTATACTTTGAATGTGGACCAGTTCCCCCACAAACTTCACTCAGTCTTTTCTGGCTTTGTGCTTCACTTACCATTAATTGTTTCTGCCATCCCAGTTCTTCCATTCTAGGACATGGGGGTTGTGGAACATACAGCTTTTGGCCTGACTAGACTGCCGCTATGGATGCTTTCAAGAAATAAGAGATACTGCTTTCTCAGGAAGGAGTACTTCCTATTTCCACCCTTGCCTAAATGATAGATTTTGCATAAGTCCCAAAATTAGATCTCTGGAGTTTATAGTTTGTGTAGATTGCAAAAAATGGCCACAAACACTTCCCTTCTCATCAAGAGGTGCCATCTTTTTCCCTTGAATCTGGAGTTGGCTGTGTGATTTGATTTAGCCAGTAGCCCAACAAATGTGACACAAGCAGAGACTTGAAAAGTTCTTGTGCATGGGGCTTGTCCTCTTTTGCTGTTCTTGGGAACCTTGCAACTACCGCCAGGTGAGCAAGCCTGGACTATCCTGCTGCATGACAAAAGAAAAGGGCCCACTTACCTGTGTCTTCCTGTCTGACAGCCCATCAACTTTCAGCTGATTGCAGACATATGAGTGAGTCAAGCTAATACCAACGGAAGAACTGCCTAGCTGAATGTAGCCCAAATTTCTGATTCCTACCTGAGGCATGAGAAGTTGATGCATTCTTTATGTTCTCTTCAAGAACAAACCTGACGCTTTCTTGTCTGAATGTTCATCCCTGAATCCCGTACTCCATCCAAACTTGTGTTTCTCATAGCCTCTGCTTTTGTTGACAGATTTTTATCAAAGCTTTTCACCTGAACCCTTGTCGAGTACATGTTTGGGTCAAATCAGTGGAGGATAATGCCTGACTTTGCTGTTCCTTAATCCAGCAGTGGGTTATTCCCTGTCGGATCCGTGGACAACCTCTGAAGAAGGTCTCTTTTTTTACCATCTTTTTTGTCTTCTCCAGAGCCACCCCACTGGAGCTAGGCCCTGTTCTCAGAGTATCATTCCTCTAGTATCCATGTATACTTCATGATATTTCCAAAAAGAAGTCCTGTGTTCGCAGTGAAATAAAGAAGTGCCTGGGTGAGGGTCGGGGCGATGAGCTGGTAGGTGTCATTGCTTGGAGAATTGACCTACCAAAGGACTTTCCTGTTGCTTTGACAAGTCTTGGAGATATCAGGAAAACAGTTGAACTCAGTGCTGGCACTTCCAAGGGCCGGAATACACAAGCCATAACTGAGTCTCAGACTTGCTGGTGTCCCTGGCCTCTGAAAGCTTAGGTCTAGCCTGTGTGTTTGGACCCCAGTTCAGATGGAAAAGATGATAAAAAACTTCTTAGTCACCAGCTTTGGATTTCAACTTGCTCAGGCAATTTTGGAGAATATTGGGTAGCTGTGGTAGCTATTATCGCTTTATACTGAGCACTGTGTCAGGCTTTTCACCACCAAAGAGCCTCATAGCACCAGCTGCAGAGACCAAAAATAATGCTTTTTTAAAGTTTCAGGCATGTATGATTTTGGTGAAGTTTGAGGGTAGCAATGGGAAAGAATTAAAGAATTATTAAATTTGGAAACCTGCAATTCCAAAGACAACAAAACTACAGAGAGACTGAAAAATACAAAGAAGATAGCAGGCTACTGAAATAACCTGGGGAGTTGGGACCAGGTTGTCCTTTGTAGAACTGCATAAATCATTCAGACTTTCGGGCCTTCAGTGGAGAGAAAAAGCAGTTGTTTCTGGGTATATGGACAAGAATTGAGGCTGAGTTGACAAGTCAAAGCTTGCTGTGTCAGCACCCCTGACTTTCCTCTATGTGTCCTTTTGTTTGTTCTTCCTTGAATAGTGTGTCCTGCATAGGAAATGCTTATATTTGTTAGCTTCTTTGTGTAAGACACGATCTCTGTCCACTAGGACCCTGTAAAAGGGGAAATAAGACATGCTGAAGAAAGGAGATTTTATAGAGAGAGTATGAAATAGTGCTACAGATAAATTATAATAAACCCAGAGATTTAGTTTTTTTAAAAACATATATGGGAATACTTTGATATTAAAGTGTTGTGTGTGTTTGTCCATCATCTCATTAAAAATATGCTCAGTGATCTGAAAAGCCAATATGCAAAAATCTGAACTGAAACGAGGTGAATTAAGATCAGGAAAGGGTGAGCAGCAGGGGTCCCGGAGGGATGATGCATAAGCTGCAGTGCTTGCCTATGAGTCACTACTGAGTCAGGAACACGCTGGAGGAGGAAGTGTGGATGCAGGTGGCAAGGAGGTGTCCCCTGGTAGATGAGCTGTTCCTGTAGGCCATGCATGGATTCATTAGGAAGCTGGAGACAATGGCCATGCACCTGGTGGTGCGTGCCAGCTATTCCATCCAAGCATGCTCACAGGGAGCTCTGTGTCGGCTGCTCCTGGGGCTCAGTTCTGCGACTGTGAGTGCTGCTGCCCATCTTCACCAACAAAGGGCAGGTTTCACAGAGATGATAGGCCTCTCATCTCCCTTCTCATGATCCTCACTGTGCACTTGACATAGGATTAGGCATACTGGAGATGGGAAAAGACTGCCACCCAAACCCAAGGCACTGACCACATCTGTAAATTGAATAGTCTGCAAAATTTCACATAGGTAATCTGATTAGATCTTGCCTTTAAGGGAAGCTAAAGTCACAGATACTGTTGTAATTTACCATCACCCTCAATCCAATTTTTTTTTAATAGGTAAAGAGACCATCATTGCCGTTAATGAAGTCACAAACCTATTAGGTCTTAAGACTGTTAATCTCTGGATTTTTTCTGTTCATCAGTGGAAAAAAATCATTCCCAAAGTTGCCTAACCATAAGAATGAACTTGATTGCTGCTATTAAAAAGGTATTGTTGGGCCCAGCCTTGGAGATTGATTGGGTGGGTCTAGAGCCAGAATTCATACTTTTAATATGCATTAAAGTATGATCTCAGGAGACTCCTGAGATCAGATGCGTTTGGAAATTGTTGCACTAAGTCATACCTCTGGTGTATTCCAAACAGCTAGTCCCGAGGCTTCCTTGGGCCTTAGAACTTTTTTCCTCAAATATCCTGGTGAGGTCTCTCTCATTCCCTTGGGGCTGGCAGTGGTGAGACACCCAAAAATCTGGCTGTGAGCCTGATGGGCTCACCAGAGTGCAGTAGTAGTGGTGGTAAAACTGTCAGGCAGAGAGAAAGGAGTGTCGGGAGCACTCCTAGGGAGCCTGTTGTAGATGTTTCCATTACAGAATAGTGATTTATTGTGACAGTCTCAGAACAGACAACAAGAATTAGAGGTAATTTTCTCATTCCCTTGATATGTTTTTGGCAAAATTGAAATCATGAATAGAAGAAAAAGAGGGCATTGGGGAAATGGAAAAAATCATTTTATAAAGCATACAAATTATAAGAGTGGTCAATAGCACTTCCTCTTTGGTCTTACCCAAAGTTGGGTGGGCAAGAATAATAAAAACCCCCATTATATATCCTTCCAAAATCAGACTTAAATGCTGCCAGCATCTTACTAGAAGTCTGAAATTGATCGATAGGATGTAGCAATCCAAATTCACTAAAATAGGGGGCCAGCTACTTAAAGTCCTAGAAGGAAGAAGTGCCTAGTTTTTTTCTGCCAGTATCCTACCTCCTAGTCATCTGGGAAACTGATCTATGAAGCTTGAAGAAGGGGCTTTGAATATCAGAGTGGCGCAAGGGTGATGATGAGCTGCTTTAAGCAGCAGCCTTTGTTTTAGCACTATTTGAGGGGGAGAAGGTTAATACTAATAATATTTGTGTTATTTTCATGGTATATTACTGTTTACATGCATTATCTCATTTGATCCCAACATCAACTCCTGTGATAGAGGCAGGGCAAATGTGTGGTCTCATTACACAGAATGTAAAACTGAGGTTGAAAAATAGTAAGTGACTTGTCCATAATCAGATGGTTTTTAAAATTATAAAGCCAGGCCTTCTGACCATCTTGTCTAGAGTCCTTTCCAATTCCTATGGGACTGGAATCTGGCTGTTTCTCTTCACAGCCAAGCATCTGGTGAGAAGAGCTGTAGACTTGATGTTTGTTCATATGTCATGGATGTGGTGAAGCTGTGAGGACAGATACTGTTACTGCTTCATCCAGCTGGGCACCATTCATTCCTCAAATGCTAATCTAAGAGGGAGTCATGGCTTCACTCAAGGAAAGTTTCATTTTCTTTCTTGCTCTTTTTTTTTTTTTT